CCCTGGGGAGGCTGCAGGAGGGACAGGCCACAGATGCCTGGTTTTGTGCAGGGCAGGGCAGGGGCCAGCTCAGCAGCACTGCCGGGAAAAGGGGACACACATCAGGCACATGCCAGGGTGCCACAAGGAGCTGAGCTCACACACGGCTCCTGTGACTTCCACAATACAGAAGTATTGGTGAGATTATGGCTGAATCAGAGAGCAAATATTCATTTATATGCATAGATACATATTGATTAAATAGACAAATCGATGTATTTAACAGATATATTTATACAATTAAAATATATAATATTCTGTATAGCAAATTCATATTTTTTTTTACAAATCAGCACAGCCAGCCCACGTATGATCTGTACATCAAGGGAAAGCTCAGCCTGAGATTCTGTTTCAAATTAAAAGCAGCCCTGCTGCAATTAATCACAGCCTGGTTGATGAAGCACACACTGAAAGGACAACAAGAATTCTGGGAAGCTCAGCCTGTCATCAACAGCCACAACAAGTTTGGTTTAAACCTCAGGACAACGAGGGTTTGTCACCCAGCCCCTGGTCTGAGCTGCTCTGAGCAATGTCCCCAAACCAGATGGCCCCAAAGATCCCAAAATATCATTTACAAAAGTTTCGATTTCTCTATCAAAATTAAATAACACCCATCCAACACTGAGCTCTCGCTACTTTTATTTACCATCATTTTATTAATTACTGAATTCAGCTATAAACTGGATTATTTGCTTCCTTCCCTCTGATTCCTTCCATTCTCTGTCTCCCCATTCCATTTTCCCCTTTTCACCCACTGCACCTACAAAAGTTGAGTCACCCCTGGAAAGTTTTCAAAGCTCTGGGATCATGTTAAATCACGTGAGATGACACACAAGTATTCGTGCTCCTTCCAGCAATTTTGAAAACTTCAGCAAAACTGAACTCTTTCTCCATTTCTTTGCTAGGAGATATTAAAAAAAAGCCTCTCCCAGGATTTAATTCACTGAGCTATTACAGTTTTCAATAGAAAAATGTCTTAGTGAAAAACTCCTCATCAGCTTTTGCTTTAAATTAAGGGCTTAGATTTTATCTGAGGCTGAATCCACTGCTAAACACTGGCAAATCTTTTCTTCTTGCTCACAGCTTGTACAGGTGTAAAATAAAAATTAAAAAAAAATAATAAAAAGGTTATAAATATATTCTAAGGGCAGCTCTTACAATGAAGAAATGTTCAATGATCCAGATCTGTTTCCTAAAGCTCCTAAAGCCTCAGAGGGCTGATATTGGCACAGTGGAATTCTCCCAACAAACCAAATCTGAGCATTTTGCACCAAGAAGCACAGGATGAAGAGGCAAGATTGAGCTGCCTGATTTCTACAAATCACAAATTTTAAAAAAAAAGACAACCTGACAGATGTGATCTCATTTTGGGATCCCTTCTTCCCCATCACTGTGTGTGGAAAGAGAGCAATAATCCCACCAGTAAAAAAAAAAAAAAAAAAAAAAAGGCACTTTCTGCATCTCCAGAGTTTGGGATTTTAGTAGGAATGGCTAAAATAGATCAGGTAAGAGAAAGTTTGGGCAAGTTTCTTCCTGGAGGAGCCCCAAACCTACAGTTTGTCCTTTAGGATCTATACCAGAGATTCACTGAGATATTTAGGGTTTGGTAGAACATTTCTGCTACCTGATATTCCTATATTCATATCATTATTATTATTACTATTACTAGTATTATTGTTATTATATGTTTCCCAATAATTCAAAGAGGGAACACAAGCAGTAACTAAAAAGAAAAAAAAAAAAATCCTACTAAAAGATAATACATGCAAATAGAAAAATGCATTTTTATCAAACAGACAGCAGCAGTGTGACATTTGCAGATTTCAGGACCTTTAAATACAGAAATACTGTCCAAAGAGAAAAAAAGATTAATTTAATCAGTTCTAAAAAAGATTAATTTAATCAGTTCTGTGACTCCACCCAAGGTTCTGAGCCAAATCAAGTGGGAAAGGACCTGAGGAGGTTTCTGGTGCAACTTCCTGGGATCCAACCAAAGTATTTTGGGTTTTATCCCATTTTTCATCCACCCTGTGGCTTCCAGCAAGAAAAAAAATCCTCTACTGGTGTTCATGAAATCACTGAAAGATGAGAAAGAACCTAAAAAAAAACCATCCAGGTCCAGGGTCGCCTCCCTCCAGAGCATCTGCTCTGGGCAGTCACCACCAACATTTGATTTTCCCTCTCCATTCCTGAATTTTAAAACCAACTGGGCCTTTTTTTTTCCTAGCTGCACCCCTGAGTCAATTCAATTTTCTGTTTAAACACCCATTATTTATACAGAATTCAAAAAGGCATCCCAAGAATAACTAAAATCCCTTGACATGATGCCTTAACTCAAGCTTATTTCACAACAAACCCAGAAATGAGGAGAAAGAACCATGGTTACAGTGCAAATAGCACCCAGTTCCTCCAGAGATGGCTCATCTCTCCCCAGCCCTGACAAAAATGCAGATATTTCAGAAGAATAAATCATTTTATGTGGTCAGTACTGAAGAAGGGAGGTTTTAGGAGGGATTTGCATGTTGGAAAGGTGATGACTTGGCAGAAAACTGGTAGGATTTTCTCTGCCCAGGCAGGAGCCAGAGATGGAAATCAGGGGAGTTATCAACAGCAGAATGGAGGGGAAAAGAACCAGAAAAAAAGGTTAGGGTAAATTGTGGAGGAAGAAGAACAAGACTTGCAAGTGGTTTATTGCTCTTGGAGGCAACACTGGCACATTCCTGAGGGGTTTGGGTCCCACTGTGTTCGGGGTTACCTCAGCTCATCCCACCCAGAATATTATCTGGGACTTCTTCATCCCATTCCTGTGTGGTTCTGCCACATGAAACAGGATGAAGCTGGGCAAGAAAATGAAAAGCTGTGAAGGATGGAAAAACTACCCACAGTGCAGAGCTCACCTGGCTTTGGTAAAGGCCTGAAGAGCCTCTTCAACTTCCAGAAATCATGGAATGGTTTGGGATGGAAGGGACCCTAAAGCTCATCCCATGGCAGGGACATCTTCCACTGTCCCAGGGTGCTCCAGCCTGGCCTGGGACACTTCCAGGGATGCAGGAGCAGCCACAGCTGCTCTGGGCACCCTGTGCCAGAGTCTCCCCAACCTCCCAGCCAGGAATTCCTTCCCAAAATCCCACCTAAAACTCTCTAAATGCCTCTAAGTCCTGCAGCAACTAAAAAAAAAAAAAAAGCAACCAGGCCCTAAAAGGTGGCACCAGACACAGGTGTCCCTTCTCAAACCACAGACAAAAAAAATGCTGGGAAACCAAAAGAACAGGTGGAAACACAATCTGTGAAATTCCCTTTTTAAACCTGTAACTCACACCCAGGTTGAGTCCTTCATAGTTAAAGCAAATGTAAAGAAACAAAGAAATGCCCACAATTTTCAGGACATGCCCAACATTTCCACACCCACCACCCTGGCTCAGGAAAATGCATTCCTGTCAATAAAAGTGGGAATTCCATGCACAGCTTGATGAAAGCAATAGAGTAGATTGCAGGTGTAGAAATACAACTGGAGTTGTACCACAAATCGTTTCCCACCTTGTTGCAAAGGGAAATCATGTTCTGAAATGTGAATTAAGGCAGATCTGAGCACACGAGGCACTGACACAGCACCAAAACAGAGCAACTGACCCGAGTTGGAAAGAAAGCAACAATTATTAAAGAATTCTTCCTCTGTCTTGCCAATATTGTCACATGAAAGTTTTCTGCTGTGCTCACTTTCAGAGTTCTGCTTTGGTTCAACTCTGGCACATGTTTTGCAGAGGGAGGAGTGGAATCTGCCAGCACAAAACTGCCTGAA